AATAGAATCAGATTATAATATTTTTGTCAATCCTATACTCTAATACGAGCAATGTTTGCTTGTATGTATGCTTGCTTGCTTCCTTGCTTGCAGAAAGATCTCGAAAACGGCTCCGACGATTTTCTTCAAATCTTGTAAATAGTTTATTTTTGGCCTAGAAATAAGTTTCATGCAGTTAGAACTGCCAACAAAAATCTAATTACGTAGAAAAACGAAACTGAAAGTCACATTTTTTTAACATTAGTCTTATGGGTTGCTAAGTAACCATGTTGGTTGAATTAAATAACAAGGAAAAGGTAAACAAAAGACTTGAAGTTGTAGCACGTGTTCATAATAAACCAATCCAATAAAGCAATCCTAAAATGCTATGGGAAGGGAAGGAAACAGGTCCGTGACGTAGGAAGTAGTGAAGGAAGTAGTAAAGGCAATCATAAAATGCTATGGGAATAGAGGAAAACAGGTCCGTGCCGTGACGTAGGAAGTGATGAAGGAAGTAGTTAATGCGAGCAGTCCGGAGTGTGGGGACTGTTTATGACGATAAGATTGGGGTATCTGCAATCCTAAAATGCTATGGGAAGGGAGGGAAACAGGTCCGTGACGTAGGAAGTGGTGAAGGAAGTAGTCAAAAGGCGAGCTGTCCGGAGTTTGGGAACTGTTTATGACGATTAGATAAGGGTATGGGCTATCCTAAAATGCTATGGGAAGGGAGGGAAACAGGTCCGCGACGTAGGAGGTGGTGACGGAAGTAGTCAAGGCGAGTTGTCCGGAGTGTGGGAACTGTTTATGACGATTAGATTAAGGTATCTGCAATCTTTAAATGCAATGGGAAGGGAGGGAAACAGGTCCGCGACGTAGGATGTGGTGAAGGAAGTAGTCAAGGCGAGCTGTCCGGAGTGTGGGAACTGTTTATGACGATTAGATTAATGTATCTGCAATCTTTAAATGCAATGGGAAGGGAGGGAAACATGTTTGCGACGTAGGAAGTGGTGAAGGAAGTAGTAAAGGCGATTAGTATGGAGTGTGGGAACTGTTTATGACGATTAGATTAACGTATCTGCAATTCTGAAATGCTAAGGGAAGGGAGAAAAACAGGTCCGCTACGTTGGAAGTGGTGAAGGAAGTAGTCAAGGCGAGCTGTCCGGAGTGTGGGAACTGTTAATAACGATTAGATTAAGGTATCTACAATCTTAAAGTGCTATGGGAATGGAGGGAAACAGGTCCATGACGTAGGAAATGGTGTAGGACGTTGTAAAGGCGAGCCGTGTGGAGTTTGGGAACAGATTTATGTATCTCCTATACTAAGACTGCTTTCAGAGTGAACTAATGATTTTCTCCGAGCAAAGCTCGGTCCCCAGGTACTGAGTATTAATTATAAAAAAATATACTAAAAAAAGCTAAACAAGAAAAGGATATAAGCTGTAGGTATATATAATCAATGATATAAGGTACTGGTTGATTTAGATTTCAAATAGACTCTTAAATTTACAAAAAATTCTGTTATAAAATATTAATGGCTTATAATAACTAAAAAAATGTAAAAAAATAAAGTGCATAATAGGGTTCCGGAATATAGTTTAAAAGTTATTTTAGAACGTTTAAGCTGGTGTCTGGGTCCTAAATAAGTACCCAAATGTCTTGAAACGTTGCTGTAGGAGAAGTTATTAAATTCGCTGTTTCTTTATTTTACTTTTAAAAAATCAGTGTAATGGATAAAAATGCCCAAAAAACATTTGGACTAAAAAAAAGAAATGAGTTACATCAAACTGTCGGATACAAATGCTTAATTAATAGTATATTATAAAACTGCATGTCAATGGTTGAAATTATTTTTTAGATCTATAAATTGAAATAGTTTCTACTCAATGTCAGTTCTAATACCTTGTCAGGGGAGCTAAACGGGCATTTTGCACACTAGGAGAGGGAGGACCCCCAAAATTTGCTATTTCGTAAATTATGTGAGTAAAAAGTGAGTTTTTGGCCAATTCGTGTCCAAAAACCATATTTACGATTTTATGGCAAAATATACTTTTAAATTCATTTTTTTACTCTTTGAGGTCAGGGTCGTCCAATAGCTATAGGTTAAAGCCCCCTCCCCCCCATTGGAACCGCCATTAATAGTAGATAAACAACTCATATGTGTTTCGAAATCCAACTTTTCAGATCATAGGGAATTACCCACGCTAGCAAAAAAATTTTGGAACAACTCTTTTAACTCCATTCTGGTACAACTCTATTGCTCATTGCCTATAGTATCACATTTTTCCGAAATCAAAACTGGAAAGGTTTTTAAGGCATGTAGTAACAATATTTTAAAAACAGTTTACGAGTTCTTTTGATTAGACATTTTTAAAATTCAAGTCCACAATTAAGTCTCAAATATCCAAACTACCCACATATTAACATTAGTGCAACGCAGGCTGTACAGGAAGGAATGGAGCATAATTTTATAAATCAACGGATTTCCCAATTTTAGACAAAAATCAACTGTCTATCCACTTAGTTAGCATACTGGACATACAATAAGTTGCAGGAAAAAAGCTGTATTCATGGCTTGCAACAAGACTTGATGTTACAGTACCTGTCGTATCAGCTTTTTTATAAGCACCAAGCACCTCTAGTCTTATATAACCTAGCTATAGTGTCAGTTTCTCCTAGGTTTTTAAGTTTAAGATATATGTCACAACTTTTTATGACAGGTATAGAAGTTCTATGGGTACAACAAACGAAGGAGTCCATAAACTAGATTACTTGAAATTAAAGAAAATGTATAAAAAAAGGATTAGTTATTTTAAGAAAATTGCAAATGATAGGTATATTGAAAATTCTTCAAACAAATGTAAGGCAGCATGGAGTTTGATAAAAGCTGAATCAAATTGCAGAAAAAATAACCAAGATGTAGTTTTAGACTCAAATACTTTAAATGCTTATTTTGTTAATGTAGTCAATGAATTAAATGAATGCAATGTTAGTGATATGTCTAGTAGTCGTGCAGTAGAATTAGTTAATAATTTTGTCTCAAATAGAAACTTAGGCAATGAGTTTTTCAAGTGGCGAAAAATCAATACTGTTGATGTAATAAGGTGTGTAACTAGCTTAAGTTCCTCACGAAGTGAAGATTATTATGGTTTTTCTAATAGGGTTATCAAAGAAATTATTAATGAAATAGTAGAGCCATTAACATTTCTCTTCAATAAAATGATGGATCAGGGTATATACCCTAAAAAACTTAAACTTTGTAAGGTAATGCCAATTTATAAAAAAGGTGAGAAACAAAACCCATCCAGTTACCGGCCAATCTCTCTTGTACCCATACTAAGTAAGATCTTTGAAACCTGCATTAAAGCACAGCTCAATACATATTTTATCAATAATGATCTATTTTGTGATGAACAGTTTGGTTTTATGCAAGGTAGAAGTACATGCAAAGCAGTAGAAAGTATTGTCAGTAAACTTCTAATGAACTTTGAAAATAAACTTCTTTCGTCTGCATTACTAATTGATTTAACAAAAGCTTTTGACTGTATGCAACATGAGCTTCTTATTAAGAAACTGTACAGCTATGGTATAAGGGACCAAGAGTTGAATTTGTTAGCTTCTTATTTAAGTGACAGAGAGCAAATGGTAATCCAGGGCAAAGACAAATCTAGCTTTAAGAAAATTGAAAATGGTGTACCCCAGGGGTCAGTGCTTGGGCCACTATTATTTATCATTGCAGTTAATGATTTCTCTTTCAATATTCCTTGTACCTCTGTTCTTTATGCAGATGATACAACACTCCTAAACAGCCATAAAGATTTAAAGGAACTTAAAAAAATTGAGAGTCAGGCTTTACTAGTTGCACAAGAATGGTTCCAATCCAATCATTTAATTGTAAATAACCAGAAAACTGAAAATATAATTTTTACTCTTAACTACTCTATTTATAAGGATATTAAATCTGTGAAATTGCTAGGCATATATTTAGACAGCAGATTAAGTTGGAATAGTCACTTAGAGCAATTGTGTAAGAAACTGGCCAGGGTGGTTTGTCTTCTCAGAAAACTAAGACACTGTGTTACTGCAGATATGCTGATTACTGCATACTATGCTTTTTTTCATTCCCATCTACGATATGGTATAACCTTATGGGGCAACTCTTGCAGTGCACAGTCTGCTCTTGGATGGCAAAAAAAGGCACTGAGAGCAATCAAGAATATACCACAAAGACAGTCTTGTAAACCAATATTCAAAGAATTACAAATAATGACTTTGCCTAATCTGTATATTTACTGTTGTCTAATAGATGTTAAGGAGTCTTTGAAAAATTTTACAACTAGAAACGAAACTCATCAGTACTATACTAGGAATAACTATCAATTAGATTTAGCTTTTGTAAGATTGGAAAAAACAAAGAGCAGCCACATGTGTATGAAGATACAACTTTTCAATAAATTGCCAAAAAAGGCATGGATTGTACCCTTTAAACAATTTGTTTCTATTATAAAACAATGGCTTAAGGAAAATGTTTTTTATTCCATAGACGATTATCTGGCCTGTGATATTAGTTCCCTATGTTTTTAGAACATCAATGTTAGTATTAATATATTTAATTGTTATTATATTTAAATATTTTATTGTTATTATATTTACAGAATTTATTTTTGATCATTGACATGTAAATTGTTAATTTATTTATTTTAGAGTTAATTATGTTTAACTGTTATATTTTAAAGAGTGATTGCTACTCACTTGGTGCATTCTTGCTGTTAGGCCTACTCTAACAGGAAATAACTGTATGTATTATTAAAAAAAAAAAAAAAACAACTTTGACGATGTCTATTGTAATACTTGTATTGCTTAATGACAAATAAAGATCTTGAATCTTGAATCTTGAATCTTTAAAAGTTTTAATGAACCTGCCCCTCCCTCCTTGAACCTTGAATGTTCATGTAGTCATTATACCAGTACACCATAAAGGATTAAAAAAAACAACATTTAGAATAAAATGTATAATTGGATGATAACATTTTATATTTACAACTACGACTAATATAATTTATATTAGGTATGTATATCATCAGTATAAATAATTATACAGTGCTACATTGCTTGATTTCTATCACAGACAATCAACTCAATTTGAATTAATAAAACGTTCATTCTTAAAAAAATTGGCAATTGTTGTTTCAATGTACAATGGAAGTTACTGAAAGAAGTGTAGGTTTGGGAGCATTTTGTTTTCTTGGTATAAGGGCTTGTGGAAAGGATTTTTTTCTGTTAGAATTTCATCTTTGTTCGTTCTTGCTAGTTATTTTGTGACAGTATTTTTGTATTCATCATTTGCAAACTACAGTACATCTTTAATCATAAATTAGTTTCAGAACACTTTTTTGGTATCCATTGAATTCAACTGCAACCACCTCACAGATCAAAGTATTATTTTTGACTAGGTTATAAATATCAGTGCTTAAAGTCAATGCTGGCTCAATACTAACTAAAATAGTGTATATTTATATATTGGAGTATAGAATATGTTTAAACATATTTTAGTGACAAAATAAAATCCTTAAGGTAAATAGCTACAGCTAATCAGATAGGCTCTTCTCACTAAATAGTATAATTGTCCTTTCTTTTTGCTCAGTCGTCAATTTGTTTAACATTGAGCAAAATTCCACCTTCTGGGGCCAAAAGTGGGGCTCCGCTCTTCCTGAATTGAACAGGATATTTCATATTTTCACCTAGTGTGAACTCATACTTTGGTAGGATCTTGCAGAAGGCATACTTCATTTCCATCATGGCAAACCGGAGACCTGGAAAAGTGGTTGTTTAGACTTAAATTACTTAAGTTATATAAGCATCATTGCTGCTAGTTTTTAAATGCGGAAGCAGTTAACAATATTGACTCTAATGGTTGCCTCAAGATATAATATACTCGGTTCATTCTTGGTTAACCAGTGTCATCGGGCTGTATTTGAATGCTGAGGTTTCTAAGCTGTTCTCCATCATATGGGCATAAACCCAGTAGTAAAGGTGTTACACTTAACGAGAGTGAAGGAGTAGTTTTTGTAGTGCCTTCACTACTGGATGATGAAAACTTCAGTATCATCAGACGTTTGCATTAAATTTACTGTATTTACTGCATTCAAATTATTCAGCTTGGCGACACAGTCGAGCCCAGAAGACGACAAGAAAACATCTTTAGCGGAAGTAGTTATTAAAAAAAAAAAAAAAAAAAAAAAACAGGAGGCATTATACTCCACAGTAAATGTAGGCCTATAGCAATGTAATAATATAATGGACAAATAATTACCTATGCAGATTCTAGGGCCGTCTCCAAATGGTAAGTACGTTCCTTGAATTATTTTTTGTTTATTTTCCGTAGAGAATCTTTCCGGATCAAAGCGCTCCGGTTCAGGGAAGTACTTGGGGTCTCGATGAAGGGCATAAACAGGTACAATCACCTTCACCCCCTTTTCTATGACAAGATCACTGTCAGGGACTTGATACGTCTGAGTGCATTCTCTTAAAAGACCAAATGCAATTGGATACTTCCGTAATGTTTCTGAAACAAAACAATAGTAAGAATCATATTTTGACTTTGAATAGTGAAAATCCTGGGCCATGCTCAAAAGATTCAACAACAATAGCTTGAGTAAATCAATGTTGGACATACTCCAAACAAATTACAACACTGATTTAATCCTTCCTGGACTATAGGTGGATACAGTAGAACTCCGATTATCCGAATCAATAGGGACCATACCCCATTCGGATAATCAAAAATTCGGATAATCGGAGTTTTACCGGAATTCCGGAAATTTTAAAGAAAGATCCTCATTTTCAGTACTTAGTGAACTTTATATTAATAATAATTTAAATCAGAACATTTTTACAGTTTACAATGCTCATAGTACAAGTGTTCTATACATGTTATTAAGTCAATAGTGTTCCATCAAAGTCCAAAATTGGCTAAATGTGTTTAATAACAATTTTTTGATATTTTGCAAAACTTGTTACTGTAGCTTTACGTTTTTAAAATTGTTGAAATAAGCGATTCGGATAATTGGAGATTCGGTTAATTGGAGTTCGGATAATTGGAGTTCTACTGTATATCCGTTAGCATTTTGTGCATAGCGGACGGTCTTTGGGGCTCCATGGACGGTAGGCGTATAAATCCGTCGATTATTATGACAGTTATTGTTATAGTTGGTTGTCTATACCATCATTAATCTTCATGACAACGTCCTTTTATTCAATTATATCTTTAACTGATGTACCTACTAAGAATGTTTTTCTAGAAGAATAAAATATTAAATAAAAACAATTTTAAAAGTAAGAAAGAAATAAGAAAAAGTTATAAAAAAATCATTTTGGACAAAAAAGTGCTGCATAGGTCAACTTTTTACAACATTCTATAAATTAGGCTTATAGATATAAAAAAAAAAATTGTAGCTTCCATTAAAATGAAATAATCTTTCTTTCTGTATAACTACTATAGGCTGTCTGCAGAGGGTTAAGTAAACTAATCTTTTTAACTGTAAATTATCTTCATTAAATTACAGTTGTTATAAGTTGAAAGGCTATAGAAATTCTTAATGTGGTGCTCTTGCTCTTCCACAAACCTGGTCACTCTCTCTCCTCCTATCCAACTGGAGAGCTGGTGAGGTGATTTTTATTGTTTCTTCACCAAGGTTTTTGTACTTACTCCAAGGTAATATAACCATAAAAGAGAGGAAATGAGGGGCAATGGATTGTTACCACTAAACGAGACTACAAAAAGGGTTGTCAGTAAATTGAGGTCTCCAACGAGCAAACGTTGCGTCAAAACAAGCTTCTTCAAATCTGACACCGCAACTCATTACCCTCACTACTATTCTAGTCGGTCTCCGGTCCTTATGTCCCATTTAGTCGATCGATAGCAATTTGAGGTTAAATATACACTCACGCCAAGTATGAATCCCATTCTATGATAGATAGTGGTCTGTGAGTAGAAGCATTGGATTTGGATGCTGCAGTAGACATTCAATCTACATAAACCAACTACAACTACTGGTATCGCCAATTTTTACTCAAAATAAACAAGGTTCTAGGAGCCTCTCACAGGTAGGAGCCACTCACTATCATATAGGCTATCCTATTTTCTACCACAGTTTCTGCCACTGAGATAGTTGAGGTGACATACAAGATGCTGTAGCTTACAATAACTCCCATTAGTTTGACATGGTTAAAAAGAATGAACATTCGAGAGAAATTAGTAATTTACATCAGCGCAATCTTCGGTGACCCACTCAAATTATATCCATTTCGACTTAAAACCTGTCGACAACTTTAAGATAGGGATGGAATGTCTAGTTCTATCAATAGTTAGAGGTAGAAGTCACCCTTACTGTATTTAATTAAGTCCTACGCCAGTTGACGGATATGTATCGAGAAGACTGAATTGACGTAAGTATAAGTCAGTTCGTATAATCGTATAAGTCAGTATTGGTTGGACGGAGTTTGGAGATGACTGTTAACCCTTAAGGTTGTTCCCAAGTGAATGTTCCCTATTGTAAGATGTTTGTTGTTTTGCATTATTTAACATTAACATTTTTAACATTTTTAGTGTGAAAAACAGTGTTTGTGAGACCAAAAATGGAGTATTTTCGTCACAGTGCCCCAGTCACTGCACGGGTCGGCCCGGTCACCGGTGACCGGCGGTTTTGGATGACATTTTTATTGAGAAAAAAAAAACGGCTCAAAACACTATTTCTGTTCTGGATCCTCACTTCTGGGAACAAACAGTAAGATTTTATGTAAAAAAATTACAAGATAGGGCCCCTAAATGAGATTTTTTTGGTCTGGTTGAGAAAGAGTTAGTAAAATTTGGTTAATCTTTAATCTTGAGTACTTTTTAGACACAATGGGCTGTTCGAACCAGACAGGATATAGTAGTCTACCTAGGTATTTTCGATTTTCGGATTTGGTATTCCCAAATGGATCAATTTAATTGAGACCGGACACTTGGATGATAATTCAGATTTAGCAGAGTTTTATTAATATGATGCCATATTTTGATCTCATAAGGAGAGTCTGATTTATGCTAGGAGTCAAGGGCAAGTAAGAGTGCTGATTATATGATCCATAGTACCTACACTGCAATTGAAACTGAACTGTGTAGTGCGACTGTGATTGGAGGTCTTATCAATACCAGTACACAACGGACAATAGTTTTTATTTTATTTTTCCCTTAGTCCTCTTCGGATCAACCAAATTTTCTGTTTAGAGGAGTTAAAGGAATCTACTATTGCACAAAAATACTCTACCAAATAACAAAAATAAGGAAGTAGGCCAAGGTACCTACATTGAATAATTATCAGAGGTGCTACAGAACCGTCAAGGGAAACAAAAATGTTCATACCTGATATAACCATTTCGAGGTATGGAAGATCTTTGATGATATCGTAATCCACCTTGTGGTTGTGTTTGTCTAAAGCTTCAATTATTTCTTCTCTCGCCCGCTTTTGAATATCAAGGTGAGCTGCTAATTCCAAAAGGAGAAAACTCATGGTGGAAGAAGTAGTTTCAAAACCAGCAATAAAAAACACAAATGCATTGGACGCTAGAACTTCATCTGTGAGCACAACTGGAAAAAGATAGATATGTGTTTAAAAATTAATGAAATCAGAAATGTTTATTGTTGAAATCATTATACAAATGTATAGGCTATCGTCAGGTACAATTGACTTATTGTTTAATGTAAAACAGATTGTAAATAAAAATACATTATACAAATGTATAGGCTATCATCAGGTACAATTGACTTATTGTTTAATGTAAAACAGATTGTAAATAAAACTATATAAAAAATATATATATATATATATAGCCTATATATATATTTTGTTATTGTATACACCAATGAGGGCTACTTCAAATGTTACTAAGTAAATCAAAATACCACAGTACCCTAAAAAATGTACTGTGGTATTTTGATTAACTTAGTAATATATATATAACTAGCAGAGTAACCGTCCTTCGTACGGGTTTGGCAAATAAGTATAAAATGCTTATTGCAGTTATACTCGATCTTTGCGTTTGCAATGTAAGAAAACACGGTTTGAGAAAATTTGCTTCCTCAAATTTTCGGTATGCTATAGTATTACACATCTACCATAGCCATTATGTTCTACCACTTCACCTACACAATAGAGAAAGATTGATTATTAAAAATTCGCAAAATATCACATATTATTCATGAAATTAAAAACATAAACATAACTGTAAACAATACTACTCATTGCGTACCACAGTTTTTTGTTGCTGCTTAGTTCAAATTAGCTGTTTTCATAAATAATGAAAAAAATAATAGTTCTGCACCCTGTTGGTAAATCTTATAAATTTTTAATGCTTTTGCATATCATAGAACCAACTCTTTTAGTTGAAACAGCTGGCTAAATTCTTTAATTCCCTTTAAATATGAATACTCATAAGGTTAACATGGGGAACTGCAGAGCCACTGGGGCGGAGCCCGAAAGGATTTTTGAGATAAGAATAAATGGTTATGTTAAGTTCGACAACAAGATGTTTACAATGAGCGTTCAGTTCTGGGTGTGTCATTATTCTAATAGCATTTTTCTGCAGAAGCAGTAGAGCCTACTTTATATTCTTGAGCCACATAGAATAATGTTAGGCTTTTTTTTCACAATGTTGTAACTGTTGCAATTTTACTCAATCTGTTCACCACCACCACCAAATTTCTTACTCATTTATTAATGTTTTCTATTGTATATCTTGTTGCATGTAAATCTTGTCTAATGTATTATTTTGTAAAATGGCGATTGCCGTAGAAATGAATAAATTAAATAAATTAAACTGAAACTGATGACACTGTGAAACAAATCTTAATAGACATTATATGGTAACATAAGCTGAAGGAACATAAAATCTTAAAAAGTTCGGTTCCTTCAGCTTATGCGAGCGGAATTACAATCTAAATTAAAACTGCAATTAAATTATTTTTACACTTTACGTTAATGTACTTTAAAAAAATAATAGGCTAACTTAAGTTATCAATAAGTATAGGGTTGTTTTGAAAGAAGCAAACAGGGATTTTAAATTGTCAATTAAGTTATTCAAAATTTGGAGTGTGATCAGATTTTTTTTAAATATGATTACTCATAAGGTTAACATGGGAAACTCCAGAGCCACTGGGGCATAGCCTGAAAGGACTTTTGAGATAAGAATGTGTCTATATGTTAATCGGGAATGTGAGCTATCATCAGACCAAATTTCAGCCCAATCCAACCAGTATTTTTCACGTTTACATGTCACAAACATACATACCTACATCCATACATCCAAACTTTCTCATTTATAATATTAGTAGGATTACGCACACATAGGCAAGTTACTGTAAGTTGTGATGCTTAAAAAATGATGCCTATCAGAAAGTTTAAGGCCTATAAAGATTAGCCTACTCACAAGATTTCTCCTCCAGTGAGTCAGATTTGGCTGATGTTAAATCTTCATTTCTCAATTCAACCAAAAGCTGAATAAAGTCTTTTTTCTCAGAATGTATACCTTCTCTTCTATGGATTGCATCCTGTACGAAGTCTAAAAAAAACTTCTCAACATCTTTGTCCAGTATTTTTAAGTTGAGATAGTATAGTAGTCTTGGATGAAAGGCACGAGCAATGAGTCTATAAACGAATCTCAATGAGGGTTTAAAAACCTGCTGTCCCATCTTCCGAAATTGAGAATTTGGATCTCGTAGGGAATTAAATTGCAAACCAAAAGCACAAGAACCAATTACATCTGTTGAAAACTTAGCCATTATTTCTCGCATATCCTGCGTTGATTTTGAGAGAGAAACATTGTTTAAGTAGTCAGTCAAAGCATTGGCACACTCTTCTAGTAAGTAGCTCATGGACTTGAGTTTCCCGGAACTAAATGCAGGAGTCAATTTGCTTCTCAGACCTTTCCATTTCTGTCCTTTTAAATTTACTAAATGTGAAGACAACAAATCAAGTTTTTCATCATATACCATTCCCCTATCATAAAAATGTGAAAAATCTTTGATAAGAATTTGATGAATCAATTTAGGATCTCTGACCATTAAAAAGGGGGACATAAAGAAATATGTCCCTATAAACCTTTCTTCGGGAAATAGATTGTACATTTCTTGCTGATTAATAGCTGAACTTTTCTTCCTTAAGATAGTTGACAATGTGTTTCCAAAAAGTGGTACTGGCTTGACAAATTTTACATTTTTTTGACTCCAATAGTTGTACTTTTTAGTCATGAAATAGTAAACTGTTGCAACAAGTATCAATACTGGGATGAAAATATAGAAAGCAACTGAGTAAAACAGATTCATGATAAATTTTTAACTTACTGTAGATCGTTTCTTGACAATAACCCTCAAAAATATGTTGCAATAGTCATCAACTCAATCACAAAGGAACTACACTGTTTAATAACAAAATTGTTTATTTTATAGACATGTTTTATCAATGGTGGGCCTCTATAGCGTTTTAGCAAGTCCTGTGTCACACTCCAACACAGCTAACACTATCTCACACTCCAACACAGCTAACACTATCAATGCCCTTGAAAACTTAGGCCAAACTAATCCAAATCCAAAGTTAGATAACAGGGATATCTAAACATTCTAAACAAAACAAATCAACAAACACATAACTTGAGGAGGTTATGTGTGAAATGTGTGTCCGTCACGGATAGCCTAGGGTTCACTACGATACTCGGACAGAATACGATTGAATCGATCTATCGAGAGTCTGCAATTTCACTATCGATATTGAATTGTGTACACTATCGATATCGGAAAATCGGATTCGAGTTTGTTGTTGGATCTGAGTCTGTGAGTATTGAGTTTTCAATTTCAATCGGACTCAAATCATCTACTCAATCCACCTCTACAACCTAACTGTACAATTTGTTTTTCAGGATTAGTTTTGCCGACAGTGTCATTTGGAGGCTTCTGATTGACTATAATGAAGGTTTACTAATTGAAAAATTAGTTCTGTTCATAAAATAAAATAATAAATGCCTCAAATCCAATTTTATAGTTTTTTAATTATAAAATTAAACTATCATAGCCTAACCAAACTCACCAGACTTGCTGATAATGAAAAATCAAATTAAGGTTTAATAAAAAAAATATATTTCTGTTCATAAAATAAAACTATAAATGGCTCAAATTCAATTTTAATTATAAAATTAAACTGTCATAACCTAACCAAACTTGTTGATAATGAAAAAATCCAAGACAAAAAATTAGTGATACGGGTAGGATTCGAACCCGGCACCTTCTGCTTATCAGCCCGGCACTCTATCCACTACACCACCGAGGCCTGTTATGGTCCTCAAAATATGAAAAGAAGTGCATAATAATACCAAATGTTTAATAAGGTGTATAATAATTCTAAACAAAATAATACAACCCCATTGTTGGTTTTGAATTTTAATTTTTAATTGCTGTAACAGTTGTAGTTCAAGTTAAAAGCCTTTAGCACCATCTGTTCAATTCATATACAGTAGAACCTCGATAACAAGTCAACCTTGATAACAAGGGTAATTTTCAAATCCCCTTGGAATTATTTTACCCCTAATCATATGTTATTGCAAACCTCGATAAGAAGTCAACCTTGATAACAAGTCTTATTTTATAGTCCTTAAAAGTCTTGTTATCAAGGTTCTACTGTAAATTATAGCCTATACCATAGATAAAACATACTCCCTTAAGACTTGTGCTGCTTAGTTTAGTCTATGCCTATACACATATAATTCAAAGTCAAAATAATCCAATTATGATGAAATTTGTTACAAACGTGTAAAACAACGTTTGTTGTAGCGTTCCGTTAGCATAATCGGACTATGAGCAGGGGTAAAAATGCTGGGGTTTCCTATGTTTGACCTTTTAAAAACTTCAAACATCTTTGTAAATAATTCATTATTGTTAAAAAAAATTTATCAAAAAACATGAAAATAACTTGTAATTTTGAAGTAGATTATTAGGTAAACTTGTTTGTTCTATTTTGGCTTGTTTGTGGATATTTGACTTTAATTTTAATTTTTTGTACAATTCAATACCAATCTAAGTACATTTTACCGAGAACACACTTTACCTTCCCTGTATCTTATAATGCTATATCAGCAAACATAAATATTTTAAAACAAGAGAACAAATCTTACATTGAAATGGGTGATGAGTATACTACACTTTTCAGTACCTACCGAGCTTACAAGGCAATTCAATATTTTTTAAAGATTTTATTGATGGAAAGACTTATTTCAAATAATTATATTCCCACTTGGTGTGAACAATTTAAGTTTTGTTGACTGATAGGCCTACTATGATTAGTGCACTTTATAATCAAGCTTCAACTTTGTACTTGACTGTGTGGTAATTTATAATAGAATATATATAAAAGATAAATAAAATAAATAATTAAGATGTTTTTGTAAATAATTTAAATTATATATAGTTAACACAAAACGATAAGAGAGTATTTTAGTATTTGTTTTGATAAAAGAAGTAAAATATCAATAGGGTTATCCCAATCGAGAGGGCTCTCAATTAATTATTTAGTTTTTATTATTATATAAAATAGTTTTTCTATCATTTGTGTTCACTTATTTACATTGAGGACAAGAACACAAGAATGCAATACAAGAATACAAGAGTACTTTATTTTACAATTTTTAAGATTGAAAAAGGCATCAATACAATATGTTATCGATTAAAAATCTTTGTTGATTGGAGTAGTTGCGGTAGAAAGATGATTTAACTTGTAACGTAGTCACTCTAGCTGCTGCCAAGACAAATATTCATCAATGCTGTAGAAAGGTCTAAGTAACAGCACCTGTGATGTTCCTTCTTCAGTCTTCTAGAACAGAGAATGTTTACATGTTATTAAAATAAGGAGGCTCGTGTAGGATGAATGAACAATTCTCCTCAGCTAGACTGCAATGTTAAAACTTTAAAGTGTCTATTTGGGTTGAATGGAGCATGTTCTCGAGAAATTAACATTTGCAGACAAACTAATGCTAAAATTCATTGAACATCCACAACATTTTATTCACTTGTATTTTAGTACGAGTTAGATAGCAGTTTTCTAAACTAACATAATTTAATTAAAATGTCCCTTTTGACCAGATTTATTTCTACCTCAAATCATGGTTCTCTCAGTAATTAACAGATCAACTTCACTTTTTTTATGAACAAAGACAGCTTATGGTTTACAAAAAATATAACCCATACCTATTTTAAAATCAAGACTAATGCAGGTTTTTTTAGCAATAGCAATGGTTTATCTGTATTAGGCTTAAGCCTAATTTTGATTTTAAATAGTGCCGCAGATGCTTTTATTTATGATCACATTACCTTAATCAAATACCTATATTTGCAAGAAATTGGTTAAAGCTTATATGCCTATTCTACCAATGTTGCTGTCCCGTTATATTTTATCTTCCAACTAAATTAATTCTCAATTTTTTCCCACATTAAAATACTATAATGCAGTGGGCGGTTCCAAGGGGTGGAGGGCTGTAGGAGCAAGAGCCCTCCCCATTAGAAACTGACTCTGGAAATATAAGTTTAAACATAAATTTTGTCATAAATAGGTGACAGAAGTTTTGGAACACAGTCCGAGACGTAAAAACAGTTTTAAAAATAGCAGATTTTCCTAAGGTCAACCCCTGAAACCCCCTCCTAGTGTTAATCACCCCTGTTAGCCCTTCACAACGTTCTAATCTAGAACCACCACTAATATGACAACCCTACATGGGATCAGAGGCTGTATAGAAAATGTTACTACTATAAATTAACAATTTAAACAAATAAATGTCTTACCTGTTCACCGCTGGATTTATTTATTACGTAATAGAGAGATCTGTGACCACACTCCAATGCATTTTACGAATGTTGGTTAAAGGTACGCAAACTTGAAATCTGACTAGGCCTAGAGTCGGTTGATTAGGGTATGAACCTGCAAAAACATTAAAAAGCTTATAGTTAATCAATTTTAAAACATCAATCTACAATTCCAAAGAATAGCTAAGATATTATCGATGGAATAACTTATTACATAATATAGCCTAAACTATCGAATAAACTTAAAATATAAATATAGTAAGTTTAATCAATAGCCTATTTAAGTTATGTAGGCCTATAAGTTATTGAATTTCAATATTGATTTGATGTTAACTTATGAGGATTCTCAAGTAGATTATCGCCATTGACTATAATATATAAGTTAGGCCCTACCTAGGTAACTTGTATGTAGTAGGTATATATAACTTAGTCAATATTATCGCCCACCAATCTATAACAGTGTGCTGTATCTTTAAAATTAACTTACCGGTAACTTAGGTTAAGTAGCTAACAAAACTTACAAAAAAGGATACGATTACAAATTGAGGTCCAAGTGTAAATTTATTTGTTTAAAAACAATTACTAGATATAGCATACTTATCAACTCTTGTGTGTATACAATTTACTTACAGTAGGCCTTGTTTGTAATTATCTAAAACTAACGTACCGGTAACTTGAACTAAGCCAAAGCGAAATCTTAGGGTAGGCCTACTTTGGTATTATCCGGAGACCAATTATTTTAGAGAGATTTTTTACTGGAGTGTCCAAAAATAACTACATAGGCTACTGTAATAGGAAAAAACCTGCTTTAATTGACTGACTGTCCAAATTTGACATGATTACAATTAGCGGCCTTTGAGTTCTGTCTCCCAGAAAAAAAGGCAGCGATGTTGGCGAGGATTGAGTTGAATGCGTCGCTGCCGCTATACTCCGCCAAGTAGGTATGCAGCACGCTGCGGCGGTCATGATAAGTTGGATTATCATAAATATGTTTATAAAACTTTCCTTGTTTCGTTATGAATTGAACTATACCAAATGAGTCTTACTTTTGCCCGCCAAATACCCCAGATACAGGTGGTAACAAGTGATGAATGCTCCGGTCAATGACCTGGCTAAGTACTTGAGGGGATATGGCGTGCAAAAGTAATTTATGACTCATCTGGTATTGTAAGATTCATATAGAAATTAGGAAAGTCCTGCAAACAAACATATTTGTGAAAACCAAACCTAACATAAGTAACTGCGCTGTGTAAGGGTGGCCTCCGGATAATACCAAAGTACCCAACTTAACCGCCACAGCACGTGTTAACGAGTCTTTTTGAAAAGCATAAATAAATAAGTTATTCAAGTTATATCAAGTGAAAACTTTGACTGATAGGCCTACGATAGAAATATTAAACTGAATTTCCATCTGATAGTAAGTTAAGTTAAGCCTAGGCTATAAGTTAGGTTCTCTACAGACTTGTAGGCTACCTATCGATTCAATCGCTCTGACAACTGCAAAAATTGCAACTAAGTAGCATCTTAGGAAACGACTTAAGTTAAGTTAAGCTTTCATAACTTTAATGTTCTTAAGAAACCGATTAAATCTTACTGATAATCCTAGAAATGTTTTCAAACTTCATCAAGTCCCTACGTTAACCTTATTAGGTACAATTACTTACCTTACCGCCACTCCTCAGAATCTTCTGATTAATACTTTCAAGGTTTAGAGGTTAATAATCTAAGTTAATCTATTTAATTTTAGCCAATTATCAAATCAAGGAGACAATAACATGAATGGATTTATTAGGTAACTTAATAGCCACGAATACTTAAAGTATTCGTGGTAATAACATATTTCTACCTGTACTTCTCGTGGAAAAAGCAAACCAGTTTGATGCCAGACAAACATACCCTATTGGTCAAATTCTTCCTTTAACCTTACATAGCCCGAAATCTCCTTGGCGTATAGCAATTTAAATCTGTTATATGTGTGTTGCACAAGTTTCCATCTCTTTTAAAGTTAATTCCATTTTAAAATCTAATTTACGTGTATCGTGTACCTGGCCACCTCCAACAACTAAACTAAGTCACACAAAAATGACAATGTCAACAATAACAACATAACACGTAAACGTAAACAAACATAGGATACGATACGAGACGAGACGAGATACGATGATTCCGTCGTCATAAGAACCGATTCGACTTCAGTAAGAAAGAAATATCGCAGAGTCACGATAGATCGATTCAATCGTATTCTGTCCGAGTATCGTAGTGAACCCTAGGCTATCCGTTACGTGATGGTCAAAACAAAAACAAACAATAAAAATAAAAGGATAATCGTGTATTCATGAAGCTTTTTCTAGGTTTCCATTCAGCCTCACTGTTTTGTGAAGAAAGAAGGTAATATCATATATAAGGAAGTATGTTTAATCAATGGTAATATACTGCTTCGTGCTTACTGTACACCTTCGACTATTATCCAATTTTATCTATTTGTTTATCCCCTTGCACACGCACCCACACGCATACTACCATTACTACCGTAAAATAAGTGCATGGCATGATACATATTTATTTATTTTCCAACGGTTTACACTAATTATAAAAAAAGAGGACGAAAATTTTGGGATTACCTTTTAATTTTTACCAAGCTCTGTAAATGTTGGACGTAAGCAAGGCAACAATAGATGTTGCCATGGTGGAAGGAAAATACATGTTGTCTTGACTTAAGTCATAATTCCCAAAAATGTTCCAATTGAAATTGAATAATCTATGGGTGTTCGTTCCAACCAATGCTTTAAGTTATTTTGTGTCTGAGTACTTATGATCCCAACAAAGTATAAATTCAATTGATAAGAACAACTTATATATTCTTTCAAGAAAATGCAATAGGTATTAAATCTATGCTATACTATATCTATATAGATAGATATTTTTGCGTTAGTTCACAGAGAAGGTTAGTTTATTCTTTCCTCTATGATTTTCTGTAGATTCTGTAGGTCGCGAGTGGTCGCGTGGGATTGGGAGAAAAATGGGCGTGTCCATCGTGACTTCGCCGACTCGACTTCGGCAAATTGGCTACCCTGACTGAGAATCCCAAATACAAACAAAACACGGCCAAGCCAATAGCCAATTCCAATTCCAATTTAATTCCCATTCCCAATTTGTCAAAGTGTCCCGTCCCTAGTTGTCAAAGTGTTTTGTGTTATTATGTTAGATATAGTAGTAATATTTTAAAGATAAGTTTATTTTGTGTCACCAAAATGTTTTTAAATAAGTATACGTCATTAATCAATGTATTCTTTGTGATAATTATTTCATTTTTCATGTGTAAGTATTGCTTTTCAACCTTGAAAGATTTATTAAATTGTTAGGTTATATAATTCCAAACAAACCTGTTGCTCATACCAATCATAGGCCTATGCCTATTTTTGGAAAATGTCTTCTCAAAACATTTATTGTACCACTAGGTTAAGGTAAATTAATACTATGCTAAATATACACACATACACACATATATATATAGGCCTAATAAAAAAATATAAGTTTTAAATAAAGTTATAGCCATTGCAAACCATGCTGCATTTTGGGGTACAGTTTCTTAACTGGGCTATGCTAATATCGATTGAAACTATCGCTTCGATTAGTAAACCTTCATGCGATTTTTTTCACCATCAGCAAGTTTGGTTGGTTAGGTTAGGTTATGATTCTTGAACTATCATAACTAACTTATTATGACAAATTTTGAAAGTAACCCACAGTAATGCCTAAAAAAATCCTACATATTTGATTCAAATGTAAAAGTTGTGGCAAATTAATTTCCCTACGTCAAATATAATAATTTTTTATAGGCCTAAGCTCCAAAAAATACAAAAAGTTATAAAATTTTTTTCTAAACAATTTATTTTTCCTAAAAAAACTCCATATTTTTTGGCCAAATAGAAAATATAAACATTTTATCAGAAATAAATAGCCTAAATATTATAATTTCTGAAAGGAAATAAAAAGTTCTTTCAGGAAACTTTTATACCTTTTGGTTATAAAACCACTGAGTTATTGACGTCAGATAGTGAAACTTAAAATTATTTCTTCCTAAAACATAATTTTTTGGGCATTTAAAAAAAAGCGTAACATTTTTTTTAGTAACTACTTATATACAAATTCCAAGATATACATATTGTATGGAAATTACTGCAGTTTCCAAAAATGTTTATACAAAAAGTACAATGAAAAATTGTTTACACGCAAATATGTAAATGCGTAGTAATATTCATCAGGAGCATATGTTAGGGAATAATTTCACTATTTTGTAACAAATTATAAAAGAACCCCTTTTATCACAAAAAAGTGTAATATTTGTGTAATCTTTACAGTACCTAGTTACACAAATATACACATATTATAACACAATAGGCCTACTATCACACAAACAATATTTACCGATATTATAACAAGACACAACGCTTGAAAGGACGCTTCCATAATGCCGATTCTCCTTTGTCGTTGTCTGGCTAACGATAAATCAGGGCTGACTTCTACCAAACAAAAATACTCGCCGTACAGACCTGCAACTGTTGTCAATTTGACGACCAACTAAAGGGCTTTCTGCAGATATAAATATTACTCGGAAATGATTATTTGGCGTTATAATAGCGTTATAATAGTTATAAAAGCGTTTTCCATTTGTTACAAAAGGGACAAATGCTACCACCCCCCCCTCCACCACTTCCTCGCAAATTGACAAAAACATAAGATTTGTTAGAATATTTTTTTGACCTGAAACGAGATAGACAACAACCTATAACAGACGAGTTGTAGTTCACAAAATTTCTGTTGCTACGATACCACTTCTGTTTTAGTCCGAGAATTCTATTATTTTTTATCAGCCAATGAAAACAGCTGTTTTTTTGCCGATTGCACAATTTTTGTCTTCCGCCAGAATACAATTTGAAATAACTAGTTTTTTAGAATACTGTTTTTGGCTAAATGATAATCACCAGGTAATGTTTTATATATGAAGATTAATGCTGAGAACCTCCTCTTTCCAACGGTATTGCAATTTAAGAAAGTTTATTGGTTGCAAAATTAAGTTGAAACACACCACGCCCTATTTGTCCCTTTTGGGACGATGCCAGCTCACACTTCAATTTCTAACGCCCCAAAAGGGACGAATGCCAGATCTAGGGTTAATTGAAAATCCAATCGGGCAAATGGAAATTAGCTTATTCTGCAGGTTTGCTGCGGTGGGGGTACTTATATTTTCAACAAATCCAATACATCTTTTTAGCTCATGTTTCCATTATAGGTCGGCCGCTTAGAAAACGACCTCCTCCAGCATTGGTTTAGCATTAGCGCGCAGGTCGTTTTCTAAGCGGCCGAACTATAATTTCAATTTTAGTATAACCAGCTGTTTCAAATAGTATAAATTTCAAAGTATCCATCTGTTCAAATGTAAACAAACATTTTCTCCCTAAGAATAACAAGGGAACTTTGAAGGCCACTTGGGCAGAGACCTGATGGAATTTCAAAAATTTTTTGTTTGATGGCACGATGTTCTGTGTTTTTCAATACCAAAGCCAGCAGCTCCCTAACATATACTTGTACTAGAAGTCCGTCTCGCCCAAATCTACCTTTAAGTTCCTCTAGAGTCTTAGGATAATTATCTGGGGTTGGTGGAAAACTCTTTACTACTTCATATGCTCTAGATCTAGGAATCATACTTTGTAGGCTAACAAGTATTGGAACTTTTCTGCAGAATTTAAAATCAGTTCCTTATCTATTGTTTGAAAAAAGACGTTTTTAATTATTGTACAAGTAACTAAACTTAGGCCAAGTGTTGTACAGTAGATGCGTAGTCCTAGGGGTGTACTTAGTTGTAAATATCCTAGAAATAGGCTTTACCTTCGTCACTGCAGCTCAAAATCTTGTGGTGTAACTATGTTACGGCCGTTTCGGCATTACAATGCCATCGTCAGACTACAAAAACACAAACTCGGCTGAAGTAGCGTCGTTGAAGTTTAAACACGTAACACATACGAACAATAATATACATTTAAAATATTTACAAAAACCGAACAGGCCTGTCGTACTAACGGGTGACATGTTCCCGTTCCGAGCAAAAACCGACTGGAAGATTTCTATGTCGAGCCCGGTGTGGTGGCGTTATCAGTTGAACTTTGTACTCCTGGCTTCTTGTTCCTTTTCTGATTTAAAATGCTATTGAATATGAAGTGTGACTTGTACTGTAGTTTGTCGTTTAAAATTATATCGTCCAAATTATTTTCGGTGTAAGCTTTGTAAATTTCATACTCTTCTAGGGTGTCCAGTCTATTGCCTTTCTTACTTGTGTGGAGTATTTCTAAGCCAGTGTTCAGATCGTTCATGTCGTGATTTTTGTGAACCAAGTGTTGTGCAAACGATGACTTTTGTTTGTCGGCTCTAGGAAATGGATGGTGCTCTTTGTATCTGGTTTTGAATGAACGTCCAGTCTTTCCTTTGTAGTAGCTCGGGCAACTTGCACAATTAATCTTATACACACCTGACTTTTCACCTTTATCAATTACGCCACTTGAAACATTCAATTTGTTAATTGTTTTGTTGTTAGTCCTAAAAGTCAATTGAATGTCGTGTTTCTTCAGCTCCTTCGTGAGTGTGTGTTGAATGGAATGGGAGTATTCCACACATACATACTTTTTCTTTTCCTTTTGTAGATTATTATCTCCTGGCCTTTTGTTTTTCTTTTTAGCTACCAGTCCATCAATCATGTTACTTTTATAACCATTAGCTATGGCTATATGTTTAATTATAGTACGACAGGCCTGTTCGGTTTTTGTAAATATTTTTAATGTATATTATTGTTCGTATGTGTTACGTGTTTAAACTTCAACGATGCTACTTCAGCCGAGTTTGTGTTTTTGTAGTCTGACGATGGCATTGTAATGCCGAAACGGCCGTAACATAGTTACACCACAAGATTTTGAGCTGCAGTGACGAAGGTAAAGCCTATTTTTAGTTATTATACATCTCAGGGGCTAAAACATGGATTTTAAATATCCTAGTGTGGGAAACCACTGTCGTCTAAGAACTGACGAACATGGGAGGTGTTCACAATTTCAACGCTATCAAGGGACATGTACAAATGGTGTCGCTTGCTTGCGAAAGTCGATGGTGTCTAGACCAGACCGGGGAAGATGTCAACGATTCCACTGCAATCATCACTGCAATGTGTTTTGATTTAGGAGGTTTTAACATTAACTTATTTAGTCTAGTAACGGGTAATGTTATTAGGTAACTACTTAAAAGTGCTTAACATGGTAAAATTGTATGGTTACCTACCTAAATCTGTGTTTCATATTTTTTAGACGATGTCAGTGCTGAGTGCAACATTCCAATTGTTTTAAGAGGATCATGGTTTTCATGGGAAAATATACAAACAGAAACTGAGCTAAATGCAAATGAGATGCACCGGAATTCTGACCATGGATATGTTTGTGAAGACATCAAAGAAGATTTCCATGTGAATTACACAATCGTGTTTCACCACCCAGCTGATGGGTGTTACCACTGTGTTAAATTTGTGGTTCGAACCGTCAATGTCTTGGAGAGAATCGAAAGTAAGTTTCTTTAATGGTTACTTTTTTTTATAAGGGTCAGTTGTAACATTATTTTCTCACCAAAAGCTGTCATAAAACCAGACTACCTAACTTATGACATCCAAAGAGTCTAACTAGCTATAACTAAGAGCTCTTACGCATCTTAGCCATCAATACTTTTATTAAACCCCCCACTTCACCTTGTTTTAATTTTTGCAGGTAAAATATTAATCGTAGACAAAAGCAGAATCAACCTGCTTGCTATTAACTTACTTGACTGTACCTATGTCGGAAATGAGCAAGAGACTTCTACAGTATCTTTGGTTTTAATGATACTGTAGGAGTATATGTATGCTGGTCTCTCCTTCTGTCAAAGTCATTTTCCTATTCCTTCAGGAGACCAAGGATGCTATACTCATACTGACTGAATGCAGTTACAGTAGTAGCCTACCCAAAGTTTTTCAAAATTTGGGAGGCAGTGATCATAGTAATGTAATAATCATCATAGCAAATTTAATCACCCAAAGTAACATTTTTTGCTGTAGTAGAACTTGATGCACAGCTGCCTCACAGGACCAAGTCATAAGTTAGGGCCTATATGACTGTGAAAGAGGGTGTGGTATACAGTCATAAGATAAGGCAGTGCTATTTCTGATTTAAGTTTTCTTAAAAGATAGGTGATGTGGGAAAAAATCACACATAGGCTACCTTTTCAATGTGGGAATTTCAGGTTTAAATTTAGTGTCAACCCAAAAGCCAAGTAATTTTACTGGTCTCCTCCACAGTTTTGGGCTACAAATCAGAGATTGAATTTTATCCTCATTGAATTTATGATGGCTAGCATAAAACCAGTCCATAGCCTGGGATAGCAGGTGTTCGGTCTTAAGTCGCAGCTGAGTTAGGTCTCGCAAGGCTCGGGTCATTAATATTTTATTGGCAATATTTATCACTGAACTGTTTATTAATTTTGATTAGGCTATAAAACTTATCTATTAAAATAAGTAGGCTGTTTCAAAACTTTAAAAACGTTTTGCTATGTAGGCCTATGTTAGCTATTAATTCTAGACATTTTCTCGTAAAACATAACAACGTCACTGGACACAAATTCATATCAATGTCGCCTTCTCTACTTGGAAAATGTTGCTTAACCAATTTAATTTGTTATTGAGTAGGCATACATTTGTAGGACAGTAGTGATTATGCCAGCGGTAGCTGGGTGTGTTGGTAGTCTAGTAGTTAGTGTCTCAGACTTTTGTGCGATGTAAATGCTTATATCCATAAAATGTTTGATTGGTTTGTAGGCCTACCGCTTTTCCTTACTTAAGGGTTTGTAATTATTCTTTAACAATTGGTTGATTCTAGCTGGTTGTGTGAATCTGAGGAGAGGACAACAACCAACTGTTGAGAACGTGTGCGCCAACCTGAACCCTGATCAGCAGCTGATTACGATGTTCTCTCAGAACTACGTCCCTGTAAACTGCCGCTCAAGTCTGGAGGGCGTGTGGCAGTTTGCCTATCAGGTATGGTACATACACTACACACATAGCCTAGTCCGTCAAAACAAATCGCTTAGTGTGGAAACATCCACTTGTAATTAAATTAGTTACAGCGTGCACATAGCTTCCTTGATCTGCTTGTGGCTTAATTTAATCTGCAGTAAATCACGGTATCTTAAGGACACTACTTCCAATCTCATTTTATGTTTTGCATCCACTAGGTAAAGAAAAAAGGAGAGCAAGTTGGCTGGTCTTATTAGAGCGCGGAACTTGTTCCTCAAGGTCTTGGGTTCATATCCTGCTAATCAAATCACTCGGGTTTTGATAAGTAAATATTCGTTTGTTTTGAAATAAACATGTTTCAGCTGATCGAATAACGTAAATAAACATTTAAGTTTAGATTAGGCCTACTTGCAGAATGATACAATAGATCGTTTTTACAAAAAACTACTGAAAAATTAGTGATTTGTATATTTTTTCGGTGTAGTGGGTAATAAAAGCTTTAAAATGACATTATGGGAATTGGTGAAGAATTAAGGAAGTTATGGCGTACTGGAAAAAAAGTACAAGTAGAAATTAATTATATAATATATTAACATATATAGATTGTTAATCTTTTAACTCCTCAAAGCAACAGTTCCTTACTTTGTCAGACCAATTTTACCGAAGGTCTACACTGAAACTAAAGGCCTTAGTTTCTTAGAATGTCTCCTAGAAAAAAGGCAAAATATTAACTGTCAGATTAGTTATCTACGACAGTTTTAACCATAGGAAGTTGTGAATCTTAGAATTAATTGTTTCGTTTTCTAAATTTTTTCTAAATTTAAGATTGCTACATGGCAATGTTTTTGTAATCTTACCAACATTTATTTAGTATTCAAAGAATGAATAAGGGCCTTAGTAGACCTAGTAGAGGCATGACTAGTCTCTTTCTTTTGAAATCTTAAAGATTCGCCAAGGAAAATAAAGAAATATGCACATATTAGTTCAAACACAATGTGAATTAAGAATCTTTTACTTTGCAGAACCGGTTCCGTTTCACAGGAGAATGTAACCACCCTGAAGCTCAGATTAGATCTTGTCAACAAGCTGGGTCTCAGTTCCTCATATCCAACCAGAAGTTCAACATCACATACAAGGCATGTCCTGGCATGACTGGCACCTTCGATGGAGGTAAAGTAGATAATCTGCTAAGTATGTACATGTTTCTGTAAGTAAGGCCTAGTGAATCCTGTCGGATTTAGTAAATTTGAGGGTTTTGAATTTTTTAAAGAAGAACAATGATCCAAAAAGTAAGCTTCGTGATTTTTATCGATTGGAAGACAGTAAAGTTATCTGAGTGACAAAATTAATTAGTGCTACCAGTTAATGATACTTTCCAACAAAGTTGACGTTATATTTTATAACAAGATCAAAGTTTTGACATTCCCAAAAACAGAAAGACTGTAATAAGACTGTTCTTTTACATAAAATGTTATTGACATAAAAACACAAATAAATAATAATAAAAATGATAACTTTAAAGAAAATAAAGTTTGTCAAACAATGTAGCTGATGTAATTGTAAGTTAATCAGGCAGTGGTCAATGGTTGTTTGAGATTGTTATTTCACTTACATATCTTTTACCAATTAAATTGTGGTGTTATTTCAATTAAATATTCAAGGCTACTCTGAAAATAAAACTATACTTTGTTGAAGCTTCAGTAGAAAGGAAATATGTAGATCACAATTTTAGTTGAAAGTTGACGAGAAGTTAATAACTAATTAAAAATGTGAAATTTCTTAAGAATCTTCTTTTAGTTAAGGGGCAACCAAATCCGTAAAATTCTATAACATTTGTCTTTTCACTTAACAATTTTTAACACAGTTTTGTAAGATTTATCAAGCCAAAGTTTTATCATTGGTTATCAAATTAGTTGATTATTATTTTTAGCTTTTTCAAATTACGTTTTATCAGCGCCTACGTAAAGTTACTGCACCAGTCTTGTTAATATTCCATCACTTACAGTGGTTGAATACAGCTGTCTGGGAGACTGGTTTGTGGACAAGAATCATTTTTTCGCCGTTGCAAACACCAAGGAGTCACGTAAGGAGGAGAAGTACCGATGTTTCCTGAAGAACCGAGATGATGACTTGTACCTTGGAGTCTCCATTACAGCCGAGTGCAACACACTGAAGACTGTGGAGAAGAGTCCTGAGAGGCTGCATGTCAACCCGGGTAATTGTCAACTTTCAACTTTGGTATATACTTTTAAGGAAGGGCAAGTGGCTGGTTAAGAATTGTTTTAAAAACCATACAATCCAGGGGCCAGACAATCCAGATGTACCAAAAAATTCACAAATCATTGATTTTAGTGAATTTCTTTTTAGGGAAGTAGCTATTACCGTAAGTGGCACGGTAAGACCTAGGCCCGGGACCGATTTACTTTTTCATTTTGATGTCCCCAGAGGCCAAAAACACCATTCGTTTAAATTTTTATATATGTATATATATATATATATATATATAAAGTCAGGTAGTTAAAGATCAAACACAGAATATCTCAAGCGGTGGCTAACTTTAGGCTCTCAAACTTAACATCTCTCGTTTTATATATATATCTAATATATAAAATTCTCGTGTCACAGTGTTTGTCTGCAAACTCCTCCGGAACGACTTCACCGATCGTTATGAAATTTGGTGTGTAAATTCTGTAGGTATGCGAATCGGACGTAAACTATTTCCCGTTTCGAAATTCTTAAAAGGGCTCCGCCCCAGTGGCTCTGGAGTTTCCCATGTTAACCTTATGAGAAATGGAATTAATGAATCTTAACAGCTGTTTCAATTAAACAAGTTGGTTCTGTTCTATGATGTCCAATAGCATTAAAGTTACAAGGATTACCAACAGGGTGCAGCACTATTATTTCTTTTACATTAAATTGCGAAGCATTCGTTTTGGCTTTGAAACTGTCAGATATTGTGTTTGCGGATGTTTATTATGTATTCCTATACAGTAATAGTTTTGCCAGCATATCTGGAAAAATGCACACTAAATATGCAAACCAACTCCTGTTCTGAATATAAGGTTTCAACTTACTACAAGATTCCCGTACGTAGAACGGGCAAACAGCTAGTATATATATATATATATATATATATTTGTGTTATATATATATATATACGTCCGTGAACGCAATTTTGATGAAATTTGGTTTAAAGGTGTAAGGCGGGATAAACTTGAATGAGTTCGCGAACTAGCATGATCGGACCAAGAGAACGGGGTTTTACGAGGTATATATTGGTTTTTATAATTTTTGACCCTCAAAACACAAAATTTCCCAATTTCTCTCTAGACTTTTAAAAAAGCTAGCACAGTCTCATTGGTGGAGTCATTGCGAACGGTGCCATTAGTGTTCCATTGTGTGAGCTTTTTACGTTACACCTTTTATAGATTATGGTGTTTTGTGATTGGTTATTATTTGCATGAGTTGTATCATGACTTGACTGCTATACAGTGCATATTTTAGACTGCTACCTTCTGTAGTGTATTCCAGCTTAGGTTGGGCGTTTGTGTATTGTTAGTTGTAATGTGTTAGTTAAGTTTTTTCACCTGAGGACGGGATCAGATTCCAGATCCCGAAACGTGAATTGTTTTTTTACAATTGTGATGGAAAATGTCCGCAATAAACCTTTGAACAACATAGTAGATAATGTTCTAAAATCTGTATCCTTTACAGTGAAAGCTGAAGTAGTAGAGGCTGGTTGTCGTCTGCCTCAGAACTTCTCTGGAAACTGGATCAACACAGCTAATCTGGACGCTGATGTAGTCATCAACGAGACTCACATCACAGAGACATGGTATCCGGATCAGGGCCGCTACCGACGGACCATCTACATCTGTCGGGAACAGCGAGACACACGCTTCATGATGGCTCGGCTCACTGTAGATGGATGGTAAGTGTAGCCACTAGGTGATTGGAAAGTTTGTATATTTTTAACAGTAATAGTGGAGTTATTGACCGAGAGATGTTAGGTTTGAGAGCCTAAAGTTAGCCACAGCTTGAGATATTCTTTGTTTGATCTTTAACTACCAGACTTTCAGTGCTATCTGATCCTCACTGAAGATGATAAAGTACCAAGAAATAGAGGTATTACTGTACACTGTAGCAGTTACATTGAAACAAACCCCTTTTACTGCCTCTGTCTAAATAAGCGCCAGGCTTCAGGCATTTACTTTGACTGCTGATAATGTACCACATAGGAGACAGTTTGTCACCTCCTCTTTCCTGCACCTCTCAGTTACCCGTCACTGTCTTAGTCACAATGCAAACAATGACCTATAGCTGTATGGACGAATAATGCTTTACCTCATATTTTACAGTTATTGTTAATGGTGTTTTTATATTTAGATTATTTTTTTACAAATAGAAAAACAGCTGATAAGACAGACAATGTACAACAAAACTAGTTCAGTCTGCATCCTGACCAACCGGGGTGCGCTTCTTGCCTGCGCATTTTAGTAATAGGCCTAATAAGTTTTGTTTTATTTGTTTCGTAAATGTCGTCGTCCCGTTCGTGTATGTGTGTCTGTATGTTTATGTATATTAGTAAACAATGAAAAGGATTTCTTTATCCAACTGCAATGTTTTGACAATGGCGGATATAAGCCGAAACATGCAAACAATCTTCTGTAATTATAGTTGACCTGTTTGTCGGATTTATAAGGTATGTAAACTTATTTATAATATAGAGAAAAAAACTTGGTTAGTTGTTAATTGTTTTTATGGGAAAAACTGAATTAAAGCATTGAATAGCATTGCCAACAGAGAAACTTTACCAATTTAATTATCTCTAACATCCTTACTGAATTTATGATGTATTTTAATTACAGCCAAAAGGATTACATCTGTTTTGACTTCGTGCCACGCCATCACAATATCATCAGGTATCGCAAGGGAGTGGCAGTCATCACTGACGACTTTCACACTGTATGTTCCTGGGTGGCATTCCAAAACAAAGAGCAGTGGAAATACGACCTCTTCCTTGGTAAATATGTCTTACAAGCTCAATATAATACTAGCATTAAGTAGTTATTTAGTGTTATCAAGGTTAACTTGTTTGGTTATTATTATTTATTAAATAATCAGGGTGTATACCAACCGGGAGAACCGGGAAAGAACCTTGAATTTGAAGGGACCTGGAAAAACCGGGGAAAAGCCGGGATTTTTGGACCGATTCCGGGATTTTAATTTTAGCCCCGGTAGAAGATTGTAGTCGTAAAATACGTCTTGCCGCGATTGCAGGCGACGACGATGACGTTTACGTGACCGTGGGAGTCACAATGATGATGTCCACACGGCCGCGGAAGATTTTCGTGATTTTGCCTGGATCGTGGATGACGATGATTACGTTTCCGTGATCGCGAGAGATGGCGATAATGTATACATACCGCGGGAGATGTCAGGATTTTTCTATGATAACGTAAGACTGTGATGACGTTTACGTCACTGTGGGAAGCGACCACACAACCGCAGGAAATATTCAGGATTTTGCCGCCGTTGATAATGTGTTCATACAAAATGAAGATAATATTCAGGATTTTGCTGCTATCGAGAGAGAGGATGTTTCCGTGGCCTTAAGTAATGATGATAATGAAAATGATCACTATAATAAGGATTATTACTTTGTCAACACTAGCTCACTGGACTTTGAAACAAATTTGATGTAAGTTTATATTGTATACTTAAGCTGCAAGTCTTAAATTGATTATAGTTTAAGTGGAACGAAACAAATATGCGGGAACCTGGAAAAACTTCAAAAAACCAGGAAAAAACCTGGAATTTCACTTTAATAAAATAGTATACACCCTGATAATCTCTCTGCCCTTAACCTAGATTTCAATTCAAGCTTGTTGTTTTTTAAATTTTGGCCCAGATGAAGTCATAATTATATAATAAAGTTACCGAATAAATTACAAAAGTAATCTGTGAGTTTATGCAATGGTTGTTAAAATGCAGAGCAAAACAGAATATTTATAAATTAAAATCCATATTTTTAGCCCCTGAGCTGTGATATAACTAAAAAATTGTTTTTACCTTTTTGTCTTCAGCTCAATATGTTGTAACTTGCGTTACGGCCGTTTCGGCATTAACATGCCATCATCAGACGTCTTCGGCTGAAGCAGCGTCGTCACAGTAGAAACATATAACACGAACACATTTTACGAATACAAATACACGAAAATAAAACTAACAGGCCTGTCGCACACACGTTACTGGTTGACATGATCAGAGCTAGATGCCGAATCAAATGCCGTGTTCGGCATCTAGCTCTGATCATGTCAACCGGTAACGTGTGTGCAACAGGCCTGTTAGTTTTATTTTCGTGTAATTGTATTCGTAAAATGTGTTCGTGTTCGTGTTATATGTTTCTACTGTGACCACGCTGCTTCAGCCGAAGACGTCTGATGATGGCATGTTAATGCCGAAACGGCCGTAACGGAAGTTACAACTTATTGAGCTGTAGACAAAAGGTAAAAACAATTTTTTAGTACAGAATATTTGTCTAGAAATCAGCTGTGTCAAGCATAGTGTCAACACATTTAGAGTGCAATACTGGTTTTAGATAATTTGGACTGAAGACCAAATTTGTAGTTTATTTTGTTATTGCCGTACAAAGCTAGAGCTCAGGAACATAAATAAAATATAAATACATATAAAAAACTATTGGACCCAGCCTTTAAGTAATTTTATCTACCAAGTTATTATTAAAGTGTCATTGAAGAGTTATTTTCTATCTTATGCTACTTATGTAGGTAAAGATCCAGTGCCTGTTAGATGTCCTGTTGCGGGCAAGTTCAACTTCACTCAGCGAGGAGACGTCCCATTTGAAACTCGTATCCTTGGAGGAGTGACACTGTCGCCTCGTCCAAACGTCTACTGTAAAGAAAACATTTCCGACTTTTCTGTCTGCGACACTGACCAAAAAGAGATGAAAATTGATGAAACCTACTGTCTATCAGTGGACCACCTTGGACGACCTATAGATATTTACAGTAAGACTAGTCTATACTTTTTTTACAACTTTTTGTTGCATAATATTATTAAGGTTTAATGGGTAAACTTAATAAGAATTATTCTATTATTGTTACAAATTTTTTTATTTTAAAATCTAATGTACAATTTCCAAAAATAGTTTTTTTTCATGTTCATTTTTGAGGGGCTTAATTTTAGTTACCGTAGCTTTTTGTAAATTTGAATACTTTTTTATTGACCGACTTTTGTTTACAATTGAGTGAGATATTTAAAAGACACACCTTTTTTCTAGAAAGGTTAACAATGTATTCAGTATTCAGAGTTTATCACTTCTTGCTGTTTGTCTTCAGGTGACCCTGATTACAAGCTGAAGTGTGTTGGATATTGGAAGGAGAACCTCAAGTCGTACTTGATCACATTTGACGAGCTGGACGCCTTCAGCAAGTACCGATGTTGGGTGTACCAGCGGGCGGATCTGAACAGAGTGCTCATGTCGCAGGCTATCGGACCCTTCTGCGACCTCTCACAGGACGTGACCAGCTGGAACTACACCGAGGGCGCTGCCGTCGCTCTCGAGATGCAGGAGTACGAGAGAGAACGTAAGTTTGCCGCTTTGTTTGATTTTGAATTTGCGCTTTTTTTTGTGTTCATTTGAAAATAAATAATTACCAACATCACATATTTGTTGCAATCAAACTCCCTTAGAAGTCATAATATTTCGTAGCTTAGAGTACGGTACATTTAGTTTTTACATTTGTTTGTCAAACATTCAGGGATCAATAAACAGTAAACACCTTCAAAATTTACTTTCAGCAATGTAGCCTACTGCCTTTTTAATGAAGCCACCTTTTATCAAGCTGCTTTAACTAGGCACATCGCAAATTATGTGAATAGATAAAGGCATCTCTTCAACTGGTTGTATTTGAGAGAAAACTTACTAAAGACCTCTAGCTCATGGCCACCCTGTAAACATTATTATTATTATTATTGAAATACAGATTTTATACGTTTAAAGATAATATATTTAATAATAATGTAATTAGTAATTAGTTAGGTAATTAGTTTCTGTACTAATTAGAGCTTTACATTGTTCATGTTCAACCACTACTGTTGTTTTGTACAGTGCACAGAATGTTTAGTTACTTATGGTACCTTGGTATGTGTTGAAATGTGATGTATGATGCTCTGATTTGCATGTGCATGCTTAGTCTTAAAAAATAGCGGAAATTGAACGATTAAATATAGTAATTATATTTTATTTTTAAACCAACAATTATTCTTTACTCTTGAAAAATTAGCTTTAGAAAAGCTAATTCGCTTCAATACATTACAGGGGATAGGTGTCCAATGCACTTTGACGATGGATCCAACCCATGGATGTCCTCTGAGAGTTATATCCATGTTTTTCACTTCAATTAGAACTAGATTATCAGTTAAGAAATGCACTACCATAACCAACATTCCTTATATTGTCCTTGACATAAAGTAAGAACAAATTGCTTTTACCCACCAATTAATTGTATAATTATTGTCCTTAACATAAAGTAAGAAAGATAGTTTTTACCCACCAATTGTATAAATCTAGCTTTTATTGTGCCTTGAGTGTGAATTTTATTTTTATACTTTTATACTCAAATACAATTAATTTTTACCTTAGTCCTATCTTTATTTTACCCTGACTAGCAGTTGAAATATTCTTTGAACTATTTTTCCTGGTCAAAATACTAGTAAACCAACATAGGTATATCAAGGAATCGTGTTATTCTGATACCACCAATCAATTACTTCCTCATTATTAGTGTGTAAAATTGATTGTCTCAATTTGACTGGATTCTATCTATTCAGAAGGGCACTAAGAATTTCACTTGAAATAGGTCATTAAGTTCAGACCATATTTCCTAATGTGCAAGGATAGCAACCTCTTGAAAACATTAACCTTGCCTAAAAATTCTTTCCTGAGGGAACTGGTTTTGTTAGTCATTGTTAGTTTCTTGCAATTTAATTGTTCACTCACTCAGACAATCCAAGAGAGCATTGCTAATACTTCAAATACATTAGATGGTTGTAAATAAATTATATCAGGAAAGACAAGGTAATAATTATTCTAAAAAAAAAAACTATATTGAGCAGCATTAAATTAAAATACAATGATGTTGTATTCAGTGTACAGTCCGATTCATCCAAATAATTGGCAACATCAACTTCTACTTTGCTTATTGAGTTATGCTTTTGTATGCTTTTTCTGCTTTGTGCTCTGTTCTGCTTTGTTGTTGGTATTTTTAAACGTTTTTGTATATTTACAGTATTTGTTTGAATCTTGAATGTGCAATAATAATCAAAGTGAGGTAATTTCGATATGGTGTTCTATCAAAACGTATTTTAGAGGGTCTCTACTTTATTATACTAATTCAATAATTAAAAATCTGTAGAAGGTCAATATTCTCCTTAGTTGAAAAAAAATATATATATTATTTGTGTTTAAGAATTCTTTTGTGTTCACAATCTCTTGTTTTATCCCACTTTTGCACTTATCCTACTTTTGCACTTATCCTACTTGTGCACTTATCCTACTTCTGCACAAGTGGCATTCCCCCGGTCTCTGTATTTCTCTATGCTCTTATGTCATTGCAGGAGACAGATGTCCGATGCATTTTGACGACGGCTCAAATCCCTGGACCCAATCCGAGAGTCACATTCATATTTTCCACTTTGATGGAAGTTCAGCCTCTCTCAGCCCAATCAATCTGTTTTTGACATTCATCGTCGGTGTTTTATTGGTTGTTTTACATAATTGTTGACCTATGAATTAACTTATTGATATACAATCAGTTATTCAGTTTGGGAGGTTTTAAAAAAGAGAGCTAAAATAGTTGTAGAGAGGTTTTAGTTTACGTAACATTTCTAATTCCTGCCACAAACTACAAAAAAGAAAGTATAGCATTTCTTGCTTGTTATAGCTTAATTTTAAACATATTAAGAACAAGTTGAGATCATTTAAGGTAGTGAGATTTAATAGTAAGATGCCTTTGTAACAAATTTGCCTTACTAATCTACAATATATGCATACTTATTTTGTAAATCTATTGTCTATTTTATAAGGTGATCGACAAAAACGTCTTTTAGCAAATTTCTCTTAAAGGGATAAGCTATTACCTAGGTCTCATGGTAAGACCTAGCCCCGGGACCGTTCAATTTTTTGTTTTGAGGTCCCCAGAGGTATGTAGAGCTTAGCGTTGTTGTACGCTTAATGGTTTTGGGGAAAGGTTAAAAGAACTTAAATATAAAATTCCCATGTTCATCTTAGGGAGAGCAAGTAAACTGTTGCGTTTTGTTTTATTATGTATGTAATTTGAACAAGTTTGGCAAATTTATTTCATTTCCATAACAAATGTATTAATATTTCTTTAAGAACACACTTTATTACCTCCCCTGTAGCAGCAAACCTAATTGTTCATTAAACATTAAACCTAATTTCATTTAAAAAACTAATAAATCTGACATATTTAAGGGAAAATTTTTCTCTCAAATCTTGACATTCCAGTTGCTTTCAGCTGTTGTACTTTAGTGTTTTATTTTAGTCTAGTAATAGTGTGTTGTGCGTTTTATTTATACAATTTAGAATGTATACTGGAGGGCTTGAATTCTATATTTTAACAAAAGTACACATCTATATTGCTTTTACAAATTAGTTTCAATCATTAAGAGTTTATAAAAGTCTTGATAGTGTAGAATAGAAATAAACATCAATTTACATTTTTTAAGCGTAGGCCTACTTATTTAAAAACTTAGTTGCTGTATTAGAACATTTTTCCAATTATTGAGAAATAACAAAAAAGTGTTATTGCTGAGAAATGCTCGCCTGTGCTTTACCTTTAGATGTATCATATTTTTACATTACTGTACCTGTATCTTTGTATTTTAAAACCTTTTATTGCTGTGATTAATGTAAATGTGTGTCCGTCCATATTTATATGTTTTTTAGCCACTCGTTATATGTACCAAAGGACTATACTGAACAATACACTAATATTTTACAGCAATAACATTTATACATATCATTCAGTGTTGGATGAACAGGTTGTGACTTGTTTATTATGTGTATCATTAAAGATGGCTGACCGAATTGATCCAATCTCTGAACCAAACGAATTTGAACATGAGGCATGAGGGAGTCTGCTTTACACAATCTCAGTGAAATATCTGAACAATAGATAATATCTTCAACTTTTATCTAATATTTAACAAATTTAATTTTGTTTAGTCATTAAAGCAGCTTAAGAGCATGGTGATTATTTGCACAAATTAGTATCATAGATAAAACCATAGACAAAAAGAATTAAATAAAGACAGTCAACTGAGCTGCGGTTACCATAGGTTCTGGCGCACACCGCTGGGAGCGCCATTCAGTTACGGCGTACACGCTATGTAACTACACGGCGCTCCCAGCAGTGTGCGGCAGAACTTATGGCAACCATTGTAACCGCAGCACAGCTGACAGTCTATATTTAATTCTTTTTGTCTATGATAAAACATAGATATGGGTTAGTCTATGTTATAGGTCTCGCCACCCTAAGTTGAGGCAGCCCAGACGGACGGACAGGGTCATTATCGGCCGGTCCCGCCCGACCCTTTATAATCCGATTAGTGACACTTCCGTGAACGCTCTAGTTCCATAATTGTCATTAACAAAGTTAAAAACCGATGTATAAATTTAGTCTTTTACATTAATAACGTTGATTTAACAAACATTTCCGTTTTTGTCCCATCAAAATCGGACAATGTTTACGGTTTGTGAGCTATAAACAAAAAACAAAGTAGTGTAGATCCCAAAATCCAAAAACCGTAAACATTGTCCGATTTTGATGGGACAAAAACGGAAATGTTTGTTAAATCGACGTTATTAATGTAAAAGACTAAATTTATACATCGGTTTTTAACTTTGTTAATGACAATTATGGAACTAGAGCGTTCACGGAAGTGTCACTAATCGGATTATAAAGGGTCGGGCGGGACCGGCCGATAATGACCCTGTCCGTCCGTCTGGGCTGCCTCAACTTAGGGTGGCGAGACCTATAGTACTCATTGCATATTGTCATAAGGTTCTAGCAGTTAGCATCTGTCGTTTAACAAATCTGAATGAATCTGTTATATGTAGGATATTTTGTAAGATTATACAATTAGATATTTTGTAAGCACTTTTTGTTAAAATAATATCTACAATATAATATAACAGAAACAGTATTACTTTTTTTACCCAACTTTGTGACGAAACTTACACTATTGCTCTTTAAAAAATATTGACCACCTTTAAATTTATGGTCTCAGTGAATACCAATTAATACCTCCTGCAATGCCAATTACTAGAATTTCTGGATAGACTGTGTCAAAACTAAAGACGATGAGCTTATGCTTCGGCCAACGCATAAAAATAACCATCGACAAAATTCAATGGTCGATCAACAAGTCAGGCTTTGACAGATTCTTAAAAAACAGACTGTGACACTCTTAAAAAACAGACTGTGACACGTCTTAAAACTTTGGGAGAGATCATTGAACATCTTCAGAGCCCTAATCCGGAAACAGTTTTATGTTTTGGTCAGCCTGCAGTATAAGGTACTGTATGTGGAGCTGGTCCCTGTTATGGAGGTTGTGGGAGTGGTGGGATTCCCTTGTCAGGAGCTGGTGCAGATTATTCCTCACATAACCGGGACGAAACAGGATGTCATTACTGGCTGAAGATGTTAAGGATTTTTAGTCTCCTGCGAAGATTAGCTGAAGTTGATATGATCAACTGAAGTTTCAAAATTAACTGGATTTTAAAATCAACTTTCGAACATAAATTAATTGTTGATCGAACAGTTAAATCCATTAAGTTATCTGCCTCGTAGGTAACTTTAAATACATTAACTGAGACAGGTACAATTCGGCAAAAACTTCTGTGCCCGCGGATGGGTTGCTACTAGCTGAACTAAAAATTTTTAAAAAACTAAAAATTTCCGGTACCCCTAGTCTATATTTAATATAGACTAGGGGTACCAGTTATTCGCAGAGCTGGGGGTAAGGATGAGTGAGACACGCTGAGTAGCAAGACACAACTTTTTCACAAAAGTACCCCCGCCAACCCTCACCAAGACTCGATCAGTTCTGGCTGTGCACAGAAACGTAATAACATGAATATATAAAAACATTATGTTAATCCAAGTTAGCAGCACATCATCACTCATCAGATGAGTGCATTGTCTATAGGTTTTTTCACGACACGGAATAGCTTTTAAGCAGATGCAATGATAGCACTTTCAAAATGTTTGAGGATGCATCGATGCATGGTCTGCCTCAAAAGGGTTCTAGTACTATCTTGAGGAGTATGTTTTATCTATGGTTATACAAAATAAACATCGAAATAAGGAAAAGAAATTCCACTACCATAGTGAATAGTGATGAATATCGAGGACATAATAAAGCTCAGCATTGACCACGGCCACCTCTCATTGACACTCGATTACAAATTTTTGCTATAGTACAATCTGTACAATACAATTAGACGTTATTGGAGTTAAATTGAATTACTTAAACACCCTAAATTACACATTTTAAAAATAAGTCACGTCTCCCGTCTTATTCAATGAATACGGATGGTCCGAAAAATAAATATTATAAGACAAGATAACCGATACATTTTTTTGACAGGACATAAATCTTTGATTGTGTTGGTACGATTGTTTATGAGCACGAACTCAGCAGCAAAGCAAGAAGAAATTGTCCAGAAGATTATGGCAATCTCTGTTGGTTATTATGTTCCGCGAGTGTTAGATTAAGTTTAATTTGTGTTAAAATCACCTCAGATTATCGAAGGGACTAAGCTATAATGTCTATAAGTGTTTCTTTGTGATGTTGGTGTTACAAAAAGGCTCAATATGAGCCGCAGGACCCATTAAAATAACCTCGAAATCGTGAAGCCGCTAGCCATCAAAGGATCAACAAACAAAGATAAATAAGCAGTTCTTCATTAAACTAATGGGCGCGGTTTGTATTTAGGTAATTGAGAATTAAACCCATATTATCATCATTTATTTTATGTGGTATCTATGTTTACAGCAACTCGTCTTTTAGTACTCACTAAACCGAGCTTTTAATTAATTAGCGTTGGCTTATTGTCTTCAGGCCTAATGGCCTGGATCTTAAAAATCTGCATGGATAGCAAAAAACTTCAAGGCTAGCAAAACGTACTTATTTTGTTTTATAATTCATTGTTCCCTATTGTTATTAATATCTTATTTAACTTAATGTTGCTTGTAACCAGAATAGGACTCTGACCTCTTATTAAGTTTTAAGTCATAGAAACAAAGCCCAGCAGCCCAGGTTGAACTGTCTTCAGACAAAGCCTAGGTAGGCCTAGACCTAATACAATTTTCTTACAGGGCACTTACTATCATAAACAGACATATTATATAGGCTATGACCATGTTTCATTGTCCTCTCAACATTTGAGTTGTTGGGCCTAGGCCTAGATTCAATTTTATAGGCTAGGCCAAGTAACTTGCTGGTAACTTTTGGCTTGTTGAGCTTCGGCCTAAGTTATCTGTTTGGACGACGTTGAGAATTTTTTAAGGAATATCGTAGGCCTACTGTAATTGCTGAAGGTCTTCTGTAAGGGAATCTAAAACATAGGTGTAAGCCTATTTATTTTATTCCATGACATCTCCATTTTTAACTAGCCTAACTTAAATGTAACAAATCAATGCAGTACAAAAGCTCTGGATGGCTAATTATTTGATAATTTACAAACAATAGGTTGAATGATTCGGATGTTTGAAGTGAGTTGTTTCAGGGAAAAACGTACCGTAGCGTAACTTAGCCTGTTCTGTGCTTAACTTAATCTAGGCTCCTCTATTTTACTTAAATTTGTTGTTGTTATTGTCTTAAGCTTAAGCCTAATTCTATCTAGGCTACTTATATTCGTCCGTAAATAGTGTTTACCCGTAATTTTACTTTGATTACCTACCGTTTTTACCTAATGTAGCCTAAGTTTACTTATGGTAAGTTATCTGGTATCAAAGGGTATTTTTTAAATATAGCTTACCCTTCATGCCATTCCACACAAAATTTTTGTTTTGATATAGGGGCCTAAGTTACCCAGGCCTAAACATTCCTCCTGAAACCATAAGTATCATTATTTTATCATGTATGACTTAACAATAAGTTTAACAAAATATACCGTAATAAATACTTATCAATATTTAAAAAGGAAATAAAATATAACAATACCCTACCTACTTAGTAGGCCCTGAGTTGGAATTTATTTTTAAACAGGCAAAAGGAATGAAAAATTGATTATAATCTAGGATGTTAATAGGAGCAATGCATTCAGTAAAAAAAATAAAAAAAATACTTAACAACATAGGAAAGCATAGGCTAACATGAACAATAAAATAAACCAAACAATGTTTGCCGATGTTAGGTTAGTAACATAGATTAGCACCATTTTGTTAAATAGCCTAACTCCACTTTAGCAAATTTCCTCGTATAGGCCTAACTGTAGTCCTCAGGATTAGGTGAACTTATATGTAGAATAGTTGAACTCAAATTCCATTCACTAATGAGGATGGATCACTACTAGATAAGGTGTGACAAACATTTTCTGCACGGGAAATATATGTGCTCGGTCGCAAACGTTTGCCAAGGATAGATCTCAGCCTACAATGGCTGGGTACCTAAAATTTCAGGGTCTACAACAACGGAAACCACTAGGCCAAAAGCTGGTTCTAACCAGTATAAGGCTGGCTCCTACATGGGCATGTAAATAAGTCACCAAACAATCGTGCAATAATCACCACCAGACCTACGCCGATTCTCCGCTCTCCTAGGGGGTCGTTGCTGACTTTTCATCTCAGGCTTTGTCGTTCTCTCCAATAATTAAGCCCAGAGTGCCTAAAACAATGTGAGTGATGCGATAACTTGCCAATAATAACCTTAACGCACGTTATTACTAGATGGGGTCTACTTGGCAGACAACTCACACCACGCTATATCTAGTAGCCTGTAGGCTACTACAATATCCAAAGCTACAAAGATAACATGCCGGATTAACAAACAAGCGATCTAGTTCAATTCAAATCATAAAATATTAATATTCCTGAAAACCAGTAAAAGACTACTACCATCAACGTGATATTAATTACCTGGGCTTCTATTTTGTAGGCTATTAAAGTTAACTTCTAGTCTACTGGCCACATGCAGTCAACTATACACGCCAAATCCTGTAGGCTAGGTTTGACAGGCCTCTTGAGTTTTAGTAAAATAATTGGCTAAAACACAAGGCACCATAATAATTACCAAAGACAATATAGGCCTAGTAACTATATTATGTGAGCTTTGATGCTTGCCCAGAACCATCAGGAATATATTTTAGGATTATGCCTGACACTTGAAAACATGAGCTATGATTTAAACCAGCACGGTTAGAACTCTAGCCTACTAATAAAACAGGGAATAAATATTCTCAAGATATTATCTTACAACACTAATGC